AGTCTAATGAGAAACCCCACAAGACCATCACTCTACACACCAGACACAGACACCCACAGTGAACCATGCTGGGCTACTGTATCTGACAAGACTCACAAACTCACAAGTGGCCAGACAGGTCTAAAAAGGCGCATGTCCCAAAAAGGCTACATCAAGGATGCTGGAAGTCAGCGTGATCCAAGAGTCCCAAAGCTCCTGTATGCTGAGCTCTCTCAGGGATTCTCAAGACTGGGAAGCTGTAGCCCTTGTCACTGCACTTCAGGACAGGCATCACAAGCCAATGACCTTCATGCAGAGGTACAGGTCATCTTAGAGCAGACGGGATTCAAGAACTGTGGACCTACCACAGTGAAAAGGAAAGGGAATCCTGCCACATGATATAACATACTGTAACGAGGTGTGTTGAGAACCCATAGAGTGCAATATCCTAGATACAAGCAGCTAAGAGTCCACTTACATGAAGTCTGAGATCTGAAATGATCCAAAATATAATCAAGCTCTGACTTGTAGAAAATTCCACACTAACCTCATGATGGGGTACAGTAAAATTTATATGCAAGAAAAACACGGTATAAAATTGCTTTCAGGCTATGTATATAAGGTATAGCTGAAACATAAATGATTTTTCTATTTAGACTTGTGTCTCATCCCCAAGACATCACATAATATCGATGGAAATATCCCTAAATGTAAAAAATTCCAAAATACTAAATTCCACCTGTTTCAAACATTTCTGGTAAGGGACACCAACTTGTATGAGGCTCCTGATGGAATCAAGCTGAGACAGAAGCAAGAAAACGGGGCTAAGGGGTGAGGCGGGGGGTCTTAATGAGAATAGTTTCTGTTGAGAAGATGACAGAGCTCTCATGCACTTGGATGGTGATGGCTCATGTGTGAGCACCCACTGCCACTTTATGTGCTTTGTGTTATATGCTTAGGGTAGTAAGTTTTATGTTATGCATATTTTACCACAAACAAAACCAAAACAAACCCAACAAAGCATTCAACCATCTGTTTGCCTTACTTGTATGTGGGCAAAGGAAGAGAACAGGCCCACTATAGGGCCCAGAACTTCTTGCCAGATGCAAGCCACCCTTCAGCCCGTAACATCCAGCCATGGAGCAAAAGCAAAGGCTAGGTAGCAGTGGGGTTTCCAAGTTCCTCGGGTCCTCTCCTGAAAAGTAGTAGGTCTAACTTCTTCAACTATGTCTGTGGGTCATCCTGCCCCTCACCTCCACACACACTACTTGGGAGTATGGAGACAGAAACTTGCTCAAAAAGGAAAAGAGAGATTCCCAAAAGTGAGTGCCATTTTAGCTCTGCCTGAAAAGGCAACAGTCAGACCAAGGACCTGTACTGTCCTATTCAGCCAGCCAGAGTCCTAAAGCACCCAGAGCTAGTACCACTAGCCACCTCCTGAGGGCACACTGCAACCATCAGACATTCACCTGTTGCTTCCCAGCCCAAGCAAGGGCCCGGAGACCTCTCTTCTTCACCGTTTCTCAGTTTTCTGTACACCATCACTTTCCTTTTCGCAGAGAGCCATTCAAATTCACCACATTCCTAACACTTCTGGGACCACCCCAGGCCATCTTCTCTCCAGTTCACCACATCTGGTGAGCCCCAAGTCCACACATCTTGCTATGCCTGGTCCCCGGAACCCCACCCAGACAACATGGAAAGAAACCAAGAATTATCAAGACCCCAATCACAGTGGAAAACCGTAAGTTTGGCTGGTAAGAAAGCATTTAAAAGAAGGGGGAAAAGTAGTATAATGTAGAACAGGCAAATGACAATTTGAAACAGATTGTGACTAAGTGTTAAGGGAGGAAAATAGCCATAAAATGCTACAACTTAATGGTGCACCCAGTCAGCTGGGAAGAAGGGCAGGCTACCAGTGAGAGCTGCAGTTTAGCCAGGAACGACAGGAGGACCAGAGGCAGTCACAGGCACTCAAAAATGATGTTTTGAGATATAAGAACCCGGATGGGGACAGCACAATGATCCAAAAATGCCATAGGAAATATGGATGTGTTCCCTGAGTGAGTAGCACACACAGGCAGCAGAGGTACAGGTACCACAGAAACCTCTCAAGATAAAGAAAGGTTATAAGATAACCCTAGCTTATCATCAATTATCCCACTCCAGCAGGAATCAGGTAGGTTAGTCCTGTGTCCTGTGCTAATTAATAGCAAATTAAACATTTTAAGTAAAAAAAAAAAAAAAAAAATGTAAGTAAGCCACTGGCCAAATCATTCAAAGTCTCTTAGCCTGGGCACTACAGAAACTTTAAGCTGATTCTTCTTTGCTGTGGGAGATGTCTTATGCATCCTTGGCCTCCCACCAGTATATACCAATAGCATCACAGCTTTAGTTGTCTTAATCAAACCACACAACTGCCACATAGCCTTGAGGCACACTAATCTTACTGAGGACCATGGCTCTTAAGGCAATCAGAAAGAACACGGGAAGACTGTGCTGGGGCCCAGCCACATGAGAGCAAGCACAGACCTCTATTCCAGGTCTCAAAACCCTGCCCACCCAAATGGGTAGAGGACGACACGTCTTCTTGCCCAGGGAATGATCATAAAGGGTAAACCCTAACATGATGCAGACCAGAGGGCATGGGTAAGCTCCCCTCACCCTCAGTCCTAGCAAGAGCCCCCATGCCACTTCCTTCCTGACTTCTACTGAAATGGTCTCTTCCTTCCTGGCCCTACCCTGACTGACTCCTGCTGCCTAGTCTTCACTATGATGGCCTCCTCCTTTGTAGCTTTTATGGGAACTTCCTGATGCAACATGGAAAAGCCTTACAAGCCCAAAGTGATACTGTAGAAGACATTTCAACATGACTGCCACTGCTGGTTTTGCCACTTCACTCTCAGAAGAAGTAGCCATGTGCACTAGCCTGGTCCGGGCAGAAAAACATCAACTGACGACATGATTAGTCTTTCCAGATCCAAGGCCATGTGCTAGAAAATGGCCCGTGTACAAAAACTATTAGAACCGGATGTCCCCGCAATGTCCTCTCTTTTCTTCTTTCGTTTCTCACAGTCCTGACACAGTCATTTCTGCCTTAGTCCACATCCTGTGTGCTGGCTATTTTATTTTATTTTTTTTTTTCAATTTGACACTATCTGAGAAGAGGGAACCACAATTTTAAAAATTCGTCCATCCAACTGACCTGCAGGCAAGTCGGCAGAGGGCATTTTCTTGATTAATGATTAATGCAGAAGGGCCCAGCCCATTGTGGGCAATGGCACCCTGGGCAGGTGGTCCTGGGTGTACAAAAGCACAAACTGGGATCAAGTCAGAAGCAGTATTCCTCACTGAACTCTGCTTCAGTTCCTGTCTCCAGGTTCCTGCCCTGCTTAAGTTTCTTGTTTGGCTTCCCTCAATGATGGACTATGATCAGAACCTGTAGTCAAATAAACCCTTTCTTTCCCAAGTTGTATTGATCATGGTCTTCACTGCAGCAACAGAGATCAGACTACTATATCCAGGTTGCTGGGAGACACTGTGGACCACAGGGGGTCCGCACATCTGGCTCAATGATCTCATTTACTGAGAAGCGGCTGTTAAGGGTGGCAGCAGCCGCTCTCTTTGTGCTGATGGGACTGAATCAACACAATAATGAATTCTTCTAGACTTCAGCTGGACCTAAATCAAGAGTCCCTGTGCTGATTTTCAGATGTTCATGGCCTGAGCCCAACAAGAACATAACCTCTAGAGGTTCCAATACTCTTAACTAGTTACAGAACTTAAGAATGGGGCTTATGGGAGACTAACTCCTATCCCAGAGCTGCTGCCCATTGGCAGCTAAGACAGGAGGACAGCAAGAGAGGAGGAGTTTGCCCTTCGTGTCTCCTGAACTGGGAGAAGAGCATCATGCATGTCTACCTGTTCCTGTTTCTAGCTGGGTCACTGTCAGTGCTCACTTCAAATTACTCTGGCTCACAGACGGCTCTTCAGCAAAACCCCTTGTGGTTCACTCTTAGGTTCATCAGAAGGAATGATGGGGAGAAAAATCTTAAGCAACCAATGAGGTGACAGTTATTGTGGGAGAGGGAGAGCTATAGGGACAATATCATGCCCACTAATAATCTTAGAATAAAAGGAGTGAAATACCACATTAGAAAGCATATGTGGAAAAGGGTCTGCTCGGCACATGTGAGTGTTAATGATCACCTCCTAGTGTCCTGACCCTCTGGAAAGTCCCTGGAGACAGTTATCTCACACTCTAAAGTCTCATAGCATCATAGTTAAGAAACCTGCTCTGAGCACACCAAGTGGGCCAATCTATTTGAAAGAGCATGACTAGACTTTCCCAGATGGTCCCAGTCTTCATAGGCACCACAGTGCATACCTGCACACACTTGTCTACTCAAATGGCAAAGGAAGAGGCATCCAAAGCTTCATTTAGGAGAAAGAAACTTCCTTAGAGAAAAGAGAGGTGACATGGGTAGAAATAGAGGCAGCCACTCTGTTCTACTTGGCTGGGCTGGGGTTTTGGCCCTTGGAGCAAGAGCAGCAAGCACTTGGCCCACCCATGCTGCAGGCAGAAAACCAGGTAGTGGAAGAAAAGAAGGCCATCTGCTCTCACCACAGGACTAGTTGACCTCGGGTGCCAGCTAAAAAGAAATCTATACCAAGATCTAGTGGGACAGTCCTGGGAAGACAGACCACTTAGGCCTGTAGGAACACCACCTGCGCAAACCCCTGGTGACCCCCAGGACTTTGCCCTCACTTTCACCAACCTTGAACAAATGACTTCCTTCTTCACAGCTTCCTCTTACCAACAACTGCTAAAAAGTCTTAAGCACAAGATCTGGGTTTATAGAGTATTTTCTATTTAGTACTACAAGTCCTTTAAAACATTCCAGGCTCCCAAACAGAAGCCTAAGTAGGGCTGCACTCACACATGATGTGGCCAGCAGTGCCACAGCTGAGGAGCCTGGGGAAGAGCAGGGCCAGGATCAGGGAATGCTGAAGACACTTACCATTTCATCCAGGGCATAGCGCAAGAGGCCATGTTCATACAGGATGAAGAATCGTCGCTGCCATTTCTGCAACAGAGCACAGAGTTGGGGGTCAGGTATCCTGGCCCTGGGTCTCAGCTGGCATAACCCCAATATCTGACACACAGAATCTAAGGAATGCTGGCTCCGAGACTTCCACTTCTGGGGTAGATGGCAGGAGGAAAGAAACCAGAGACATAAGTACAGTGATTCATTAGCCAGGTAGGGTCAGGAGACAAGCCTAATCACAAAATGACTAGTGCTTCCATATGCCCCACGAAGTTTTTAAAGCTGGAGCTTTCCTTGGGAGTAGAAACTGTTATGTGGTCACTTTTCTATGTTTCTACTGCAGCCAGCAGAGCTTTTTCATAGAATGTTTGTTGATTTATTGGATGAATGATCTTATGTGATCTGGAATAACCTGAGGATGCAGGGACACTAACAGCATCCCTTCCAAGAGAGTCTGGGAAATGATATAAACGGGTTGGTCTTGTGATTTCCAAGGGACAGGAAGCAGACATCCAAAGCTGAGGAATTCAACAGTGGTGGAAGGAGCTAACAAAAATCAAACAGAGAAGAACCCAACAAAGGCCAAGCCTCCAGGGGTGTTACCGTGATCAGCCATTGAGAGCTGGAATGAATACCATCTTTCTGTGTGAAGGGTCTTGCCTACCCATGAGGCTGTGAGTCTAAATAATGACTCAAAGGCAGGCATGGCTTCCACTCCAACCCCTCGGGTTGATTTCAGAAGGACTCAAGGTTCTATTCTCAACATTTTATAAAGTCTAATAACATGTAAATTTTGACTAGCACTAAAGCCATAGAATTAACTATAATATATGTTTCTTTGCTCTAGGCCAGAAAAATAAATGTTAAAACAATGACTTTCTCAATAGGAGCCAAAAGTGGCAGCTCTGAAGTTTTTAGTAGAGGCCAGGAAAGGCACTTGGTTCCCTGGGTACTGCATTCTAGCTGCAACCACTGGCTACCCATGGGGTAAGAACAGGACTTGTAGGGCCATGCAGAGAGGACCTGCTAGGGCCGCTTCCAGGCTGGAGTTCCAAAACAGGCTACTGGCACCTGTTTTCCAAAAACATTTCCAAGGTTCCTATGTGCTATCTTTGAAATCACAATCCATTCCAGAAGGAAGCCCAAGGACCAGAAATATAATGCCACTAGTTCTGTGGGCCAGAACATGTACTCTTGAAGCTCTACCTAGGTGAGGAGGGATGAGCAGAGCTAGGACAGCTATATAAATACAACTAGGAGAAGTGCGTGGGAAAGATGCTCTGATTGGAGCTGAATCCCCAGTGGATTGCCCAGGAAATGAGCAAGCCTCTGGTCAGCAAAATGCAGCTTTATCCATCTTTTTGCTCCAGAAGAGACCCAGGAGACAGGACAGTGTAAGGTGTCCAAGCCTCAGCCCTTTATTAGGACTCATAGTGCTAAAAGAAGCCCCTTGGTCAGGAGGGAACTGCCTTGGTTCTAAAGGACCTAGGAGCTAGATTAACATGCTGCAAAGATGTACTTAGCTGCTTTTTTGCCTTTCCATTTGACTGTTTTCAAAGAGTTCAGATGACCCACACTAGGTGACACCATACAAGAATGGCACATTTTGAAACAAGGACTCTATATCTATGTGAGCAGAACTTTCTGAGACCTCGGAGTTCACAAAATGTTGGCTCCTTGCTGACTTTGTCACTCAGGTTCCAGTGTTTACTTCCTGTTTCTCTCCCTAATTTCACCAATTTGTTCGCAAATGAAGCTCTAAGAATTTTCTCAGGTATCCTTACCCGAGAGCGATGCACTGGGTTGTCAAAGTCAGTGCCATCTGGAGCCAGGAGCAGCCAGCCACCATAAATGGGTTTAGCCTACAAGAGAAAAAGGATGCAAGGTCATCATCAGCACAATCTGCCAGAGGATAAGAGAGCAAGGCAAACTGACAAATAGGATGTCAATCCCACTCTCCAACAGGGCTAAGAACAGGTACCTGATTTAAAAGGTTACAGGATTCCCAGAGCATGCTTTGGGGAACGCAGAACCCAGGGGGCATCTGAAAACCCACAAACCAAAAGAACTCTGAAGACACAAGGCTACCTCTCTCAAGTTCCTAACAAACACACCAAGATGGGAAAGGGTGACATTTCAGTCAATAAATGGGCCTGACTGAGCACCAGGAAGAGTGTACATGACACAGTCTCAAGACCCCATCCTGAAGATTAAAACAGAGCCTAGTAGAGATCTGACACTGGCCAAAGATTCATCAGTGCCTAGGTGCAGCCAAGGGCGAGGAAGGAGACCTCTGGGCTTCAACTTGCCACTGAGCTGTTGAAAGGCAGGATATCAACAGTTCTAACTCCACCTCATGAAGTTTCTGTGATAATGTAGGTAAAATACAGCACAGAAGACAAGTGAGGTGGTTCATGCCTGTAATCTCAGCACCAGGGAGGCTGAGGCAAGGGAATCACCATGAGTTCCAAGTCAGCCTGGGCTGCAGAGTGAGACTGTCTCAACAAAATAAACTAGTACAACGAGGCAAAATGATGAGTTGGAGAAGAGTCTGGCAGTCTGGAAAAGGTTGAGCATATAGCTACTGTGAACCCCAGCAATTCCACCGCTAGGTAAGAAGCATGTGAGAGAGCTGCAGCAATGGAAGCCTGCGCTGCAGCACTCTGAGAGCACTGCTCCCAATTACCCAAAGGTGTTGCGACCAAAATGCCCACCCACACAATGACTGCACAGCATGACACCGACAGAGGGTCTGATGCACACAAAAGGCATGGGAACCTCAAGAGCACTGCATCATTGAAAGCAGCCAGACACAAAGGCCTACATACTATAGAATCCCATTCACGTGAACTATGTGGAACAGGCAAATCCACAGAACAGAAGGCAGACTGAATGGTTACCCAGGAGCAAGGGGAAAAGGCACGGGGTTTCTTTGGAAAGTGATAAAAATGTTCTGGGATGAGACACTGGAGATTGCTGCAGAGTACTATGAATATGCTAAAGCTAGAGAACTCTACAATTTAAAGGGGTGAATTTTATGGCAAGTGAATTATACCTCAATAAAACTACATAAGGAAAAAACACCAAGCATGATGTCTAGCCTATAAAACCTCAGCAATGTTCAACATAGTTATACTTTTACTGCCCAAGCATCTCCCACCCACAACCCTGTCAAAAGGAGTACAATGTACTCACAGCGAAGTGATGCACTATGGCTCTAGACAACTACATCCAGTTGGGGAGAAGAGGTTGGCAAAGGAACAAATGAGCCAATGTACCTTCTGCTATTTGGGGGGTAGTGACAAGAAAATCCAAACCCTGTTGCTGCATCCACACGATGATCTCTGAATAAGCCATGGGGAAGGGAGGCACTTAATATATTTCTTATTCAACATTCTGCAAACTGGGAGGCCCCATCATGCCATGACCTTTAGCTGTGGAATCTGTGACTCAAGAGAGGGCAATTTGCTTGCTGGAGGGTCACACAGCCTCCATGAAAAGCCAAGAATTCTCCCATTTCTTGGCTTCTTTATAAGAGTCCTTAACAACCCCCCACCCCCACCCCCACCCCCGAAAAAAACCAGCAATGACTTTTCCCCTGAGCAAAGTGGGTAGAGAGATGTGAGTTGGGATAGGGGCAGGCTGCTGGAAGAATGGCAGAACCTTGCTTTGATGAAATGCAGGAGTGCTGGCAGAAGGTCCAAGAGCTCTGTGGACACTAGCAGTGCCCGGCCAGCTGAACACATCCCCTCTCCCGTAAACATGATGAGTGTACACTGTAAATGGACCATCCACAGCACAGGAAAATCAGAGCTGAAGTGAGATGACTCCTGAACCATGTGTATCTTGGCCTCTATCTTAAGTGGCCCTCATATCCCTTACCCCTGAGGTCTAATCAACAGGCTACCCATTTGATTGTGTGGCATCTTTTTGGTTTATGGCTGTAGGGCTTTAGGGTGACATTATATTAGGTATATCTATATGACCTTCCCCAAAGGGGACAATGGGGACCTTAGCAATTGGTGTAAATAGCCTCAAAACCCAGGCCACCCTGGATCAAGTCCTCACAGGCATCATTATTCACTCAGCAAACTTCTGCCCAGGCCTTCTTTGCATGACCATGTACTGCACACTAGAGACCTAGTACTTTCCGGGCCACAGTCAGAGATCCTGGTATCTCTAGGAAAAGGTTTCCAGTAGGCAGCCAGGGAAGCAGAGGCCCAGAGTAAGAACCATGGCTCCAGAAAGAGCTGGCAGGGAAGCTGTGTGACTGAAACACAACAGCAAACTTCAAGGTACACAGAGCAGCTGGGGGGACAGTGAAGGGTGTAGGGTAACTATATTGACAACTCCGTCTCTAGAAATAAAATCACTGAGTTGTGCACTTTAAACATTTCAATTACATTTTATCTCAATAAAGCTATTTTTAAAAGCATACAAAGAGAATTCTCACATCCTCCTCTAGGATCTGGCACAGCAAGTGTCATCCCCCTCTCCCTTCCCCAACCATTTTATCTATGCCTTCACTATAATCTACCAGATCTAGCCCAGGTCCACAATCAGTGTGCCAGTCTAGTCTTGGTACCCACTGACTGTCCAGAACCCAAGCTCCAGGTTTCCACTGGGTCAGACATGCCATGCCTCTACCTAATCTAACCATCCTCTCCCATGCCAAAGTCAACCTCGAGGTTTCCCCCAGGATTTGCCCTACCTGTAACCACCCACAGGTCCCTCCTGTACCACTTGCAATCATCCCACTTGATATCCAGACCTCCCCAGGGTCTTGACTGGTGAGTTTCCTTGATATCCCCAAACATACCTTTTCTACAGCCTGCCAGACCTAGCCTGGGCCCATCATGTAGTGCACTTAGTGCACCAGCTTAGTCTGGCCTCCCCTGCCTGTACCAAAAAGGACCTCCAGGCTTCAGCCAGGACCCTCCCCACCTATCCTCCAAACCCAAGGTGCTCCCACACCATATCCTACCTTTCCACCGAGCCAGATCTAGCACCACACTCCAGGCTGGGACCAGGAAGCACATTGTATATACCAGCCCAGTAACCTCTATCTGCCTGACTTCATTCCATCCAAGACACATCCAATCTTTAGGCCCAAACCACCCATATATCCTCTTGTCTGCCCCAAACCTGTTCTGTCCATAACAGACTCAGAACTCTAACAAAAGAAGTCCATATGCACAGATCTCATCACAAAAAATACCAACAATATGAAAAATCAGGCCAGTATCCTCTCTCTAAAACCTACAAGTCCTATAGAAATGTTCACCAATGAGAATTACCTAGATGAACTCCAGGATATAGAATTTGAAAGAACCATCATAAACTTCAAAGAATTAAGGAGTCTGAAGAAGACACAAAGAAACAACTCAATGAAATTCAGGAGAAAAGAGCTGAAGGTGCCTGGCGGTGGTGGCACACGCCTTTAATCCTTTAATCCCAGCACTCGGGAGGCAGAGGCAGGTGAATCTCTGTGAGTTCGAGGCCAGCCTGGTCTACAGAGTGAGTTCCAGGGCAGGCTCCAAATGCTACACAGAGAAACTCTGTCTCAGAAAAGAAAAAAAAAAAAAAAAGAGCTGAAGGTCATTCTTCTGCTCGATGACCAAGAAAACACAAACACATCTCAGCTTTTTAAAAAAGTGAAAAGATGATTAAGAGCACGCTAATCCATTGGGACAGGAAGCAAGCATACATCATTACACTAATATCTGAGAAAACAGACTTCAAACTAAAATTAATCAGAAGAGACAAAGAGAGACACTTCACTCTAACCAAGAGAACAGCTAACCAAGATGACTTTACTATCTTAAACATGTATCAAACTCTGAGGCACCCAGTTTCATTAAAAATCTATTACTGGGTTTAGAGACACAGATTAACGTTCATTAATAATGAGTACTCCATTTCAATACCCCACTTTCTCGAATAGATGGGTCATCTGGACAAAAAATAAAGACAAAAACGTTAGAATTAATTGATGTATCAAATGGAATTAATGGATATCTACAGAATATTCCACCCAAATACCAAATACACAGCAGCACATGGAAGCTTTCCTAAAATAGACCATATCTTGGGACACAAAACAAATCTTTATGAATAAAAAAAGACTGAAATCACTCCTTGTATGCTATCTCGCCACAATACAATAAAAATTAAAATCGCGCCGGGCGGTAGTAGCGCACGCCTTTAATCCCAGCACTCGGAAGGCAGAGCCAGGCGGATCTCTGTGAGTTCGAGGCCAGCCTGGGCTACCAAGTGAGTTCTAGGAAAGGCGCAAAGCTACACAGAGAAACCCTGTCTCGAAAAACAAAAAACAAAAACAAAAACAAAAAATTAAAATCATCAGCAAACAAATCTCCAGTAAATACACAAATTTAGATTAAACAACTCATCACTGAATGATGAATAGGTCAAAGAAGAAATCAAGAAAGAAATAAAAAAACTTCCTAGAATTAAATGAAAATGTGAACACAATATAACAAAACCTCTGGGACATATTGAAAGCAGTCCTATGAGGGAAATTTATAAATCTAAGTGCCTACCTTTAAAAAAATCAGAAAGAGCCGGGCGGTGGTGGCGCACGCCTTTAATCCCAGCACTCGGGAGGCAGAGCCAGGCGGATCTCCGTGAGTTCAAGGCCAGCCTGGGCTACCAAGTGAGTTCCAGGAAAGGCGCAAAGCTACACAGAGAAACCCTGTCTCAAAAAAACCAAAAAAAAAAAAAAAAAATCAGAAAGAGTGCAACTCAAAAGTTGGATTAAAAAAAACAAACCAGGCCGGGCGGTGGTGGCGCACGCCTTTAATCCCAGCACTCGGGAGGCAGAGCCAGGCGGATCTCTGTGAGT